CTCCACTGCTTCAAGAGAGCGGTCTTAGGCTTTCGCAGAGACCTGGGTCTTGAAGTTGTCGGCGATGACCCGGAAGACGAGAGCCACGTCCGCTGCGGAAGGCCTCCAGTGGCGAGCTCACGAGGATCGGCTCTGCAGCAGGTTTGCAACCTTAAGATTGAAGCAGGTCCCTTCCGCATGAGCTCCTTTGCTCCAAGGAGGGCTACTGCTGCTAGGCGCCCGGGCACGTAGTTGAAGGTCTGCAGCGCGGAAGTGGTCGAACCTACCTGCAGCACCGGACGGAGCTTCGCTCTGAGCTACGGAGATGTCGGAGCTGGCACCGGTGAAGGAAGCATCAGAAGCTTCGCGAAGTCCGTCCCGGAGTGGCCGAAAGTCCGTGCATAGAGGGTTTAGCGCTTCTGGCGATACATGTACGAATACTGAACGAGACATAGATGTCCCGTACACGACATAAGAAAAATTATATCGGTGAGTGAGCTTAATGACGGAATCGAAAACATATGGAGTACACTGCCCTGCACATTTGCGGCTCAACATATCCATGCATTGTACGTGGAGCTTCTTTTCCGTTCACTGTAACACTGTACACTGCACTTATATTGAGAAGTACAGGGTGTCGGGTGTAGGCTTTGCAGGGGAACAAGTAGTCAGAACAGAGGCAGCTGTTTCCCATAAACGGTGTAAGAAGGCAAACGGAATCGAAACTCGGGGAGAGCATGATCGCTGGCATATTGCCACACATTCTTCTTTGGGGGGTAAGCTCTCTCGTGCACTCCACTGCTTCAAGAGAGCGGTCTTAGGCTTTCGCAGAGACCTGGGTCTTGAAGTTGTCGGCGATGACCCGGAAGACGAGAGCCACGTCCGCTGCGGAAGGCCTCCAGTGGCGAGCTAACGAGGATCGGCTCTGCAGCAGGTTCGCAAACCGGTGGATTGAAGCGCACGCGTCCCTTCCGCATGAGCTCCGCTCTGCTCCAAGGAGGGCTACTGCTAGGCGCCCGGGCACGTAGTTGAAGGTGTGCAGCGCGGAAGTGGTCGAACCTACCTGCAGCACCGGACGGAGCTTCGCTCTGAGCTACGGAGATGTCGGAGCTGGCACCGGTGAAGGAAGCCTCAGAAGCTTCGCGAAGTCCGTCCCGGAGTGGCCGAAAGTCCGTGCATAGAGGGTCTTGGTTATGTTCCAATGGGTGAGGAGGCGTAGCGTCAAGTACACTAAAATGCGAAGGAGCGGGACTTCCAAGGTTCCGCCGAATCTGAAAAGGAACATCATCTAACGGGTTATAATTGCTCGCCATCCGGAGGTCTCAATGCTCATCCGATCAATCAAATCCTGAACCCCAAAATCAGACCTCATCACTGGAATCTTTCACGCACTTGAGCCATCGATCATGGCGTTTCGTTCTTGCGCAGGGGCCATGCTTCCTGCACATCACATGGGCTCACCTGCAGAGGGTTTAGCGCTTCTGGCGATACATGTCCGAATACTGAACGAGACATAGATGTCCCGTACACGACATAAGAAAATTATATGGGTGAGTGAGCGTAATGGACGGAATCGAAAAACATAGGAGACACTGCCCCTGACATTATTTGCGGCTCAAATATCCATTGCATTGTAAGATGGAGCTTTCTTTTCCGTTCACGTAACACGTACAGCACTTTATATTGAGAAGTCCAGGGTGTCGGGGGTAGGCTTTGCAGGGAACAGTAGTCAGAACAGCGCAGCGTTTAACAGACACGGTTTGTAAGAAGGCAAACGGAATCGAAACTCGGGGAGAGCATGATCGCTGGCATATTGCCACACATTCTTCTTTGGGGGGTAAGCTCTCTCGTGCACTCCACTGCTTCAAGAGAGCGGTCTTAGGCTTTCGCAGAGACCTGGGTCTGGAAGTTGTCGGCGATGACCCGGAAGACGAGAGCCACGTCCGCTGCGGAAGACCTCCAGTGGCGAGCTCACGAGGATCGGCTCTGCAGCAGGTTTGCAAACCTTAAGATTGAAGCAGGTCCCTTCCATGAGCTCCTTTGCTCCAAGGAGGGCTACGGCTAGGCGCCCGGGCACGTAGTTGAAGGTCTGCAGCGCGGAAGTGGTCGAACCTACCTGCAGCACCGGACGGAGCTTCGCTCTGAGCTACGGAGATGTCGGAGCTGGCACCGGTGAAGGAAGCCTCAGAAGCTTCGCGAAGTCCGTCACGGAGTGGCCGAAAGTCCGTGCATAGAGGGTTTAGCGCTTCTGGCGATACATGTACGAATACTGAACGAGACATAGATGTCCCGTACACGACATAAGAAAAATTATATCGGTGAGTGAACTTAATGACGGAATCGAAAACATATGGAGTACACTGCCCTGCACATTTGTGGCTCAACATATCCATGCATTGTACGTGGAGCTTCTTTTCCGTTCACTGTAACACTGTACACTGCACTTATATTGAGAAGTACAGGGTGTCGGGTGTAGGCTTTGCAGGGGAAAAAGTAGTCAGAACAGAGGCAGCTGTTTCCCATACACGGTGTAAGAAGGCAAACGGAATCGAAACTCGGGGAGAGCATGATCGCTGGCATATTGCCACACATTCTTCTTTGGGGGGTAAGCTCTCTCGTGCACTCCACTGCTTCAAGAGAGCGGTCGTAGGCTTTCGCAGAGACCTGGGTCTTGAAGTTGTCGGCGATGACCCGGAAGACGAGAGCCACGTCCGCTGCGGAAGACTTCCAGTGGCGAGCTCACCAGGATCGGCTCTGCAGCAGGTTTGCAAACCTTAAGATTGAAGCAGGTCCCTTCCATGAGCTCCTTTGCTCCAAGGAGGGCTACTGCTAGGCGCCCGGGCACGTAGTTGAAGGTCTGCAGCGCGGAAGTGGTCGAACCTACCTGCAGCACCGGACGGAGCTTCGCTCTGAGCTACGGAGATGGCGGAGCTGGCACCGGTGAAGGAAGCCTCAGAAGCTTCGCGAAGTCCGTCCCGGAGTGGCCGAAAGTCCGTGCATAGAGGGTTTAGCGCTTCTGGCGATACATGTACGAATACTGAACGAGACATAGATGTCCGTACACGACATAAGAAAAATTATATCGGTGAGTGAGCTTAATGACGGAATCGAAAACATATGGAGTACACTGCCCTGCACATTTGTGGATCAACATATCCATGCATTGTACGTGGAGCTTCTTTTCCGTTCACTGTAACACTGTACACTGCACTTATATTGAGAAGTACAGGGTGTCGGGTGTAGGCTTTGCAGGGGAACAAGTAGTCAGAACAGAGGCAGCTGTTTCCCATACACGGTGTAAGAAGGCAAACGGAATCGAAACTCGGGTAGAGCATGATCGCTGGCATATTGCCACACATTCTTCTTTGGGGGGTAAGCTCTCTCGTGCACTCCACTGCTTCAAGAGAGCGGTCTTAGGCTTTCGCAGAGACCTGGGTCTTGAAGTTGTCGGCGATGACCCGGAAGACGAGAGCCACGTCCGCTGCGGAAGGCCTCCAGTGGCGAGCTCACGAGGATCGGCTCTGCAGCAGGTTCGCAAGCCGGTGGATTGAAGCGCACGCGTCCCTTCCGCATGAGCTCCGCTCTGCTCCAAGGAGGGCTACTGCTAGGCGCCCGGGCACGTAGTTGAAGGTCTGCAGCGCGGAAGTGCTCGAACCTACCTGCAGCACCGGACGGAGCTTCGCTCTGAGCTACGGAGATGTCGGAGCTGGCACCGGTGAAGGAAGCCTCAGAAGCTTCGCGAAGTCCGTCCCGGAGTGGCCGAAAGTCCGTGCATAGAGGGTTTAGCGCTTCTGGCGATACATTTACGAATACTGAACGAGACATAGATGTCCCGTACACGACATAAGAAAAATTATATCGGTGAGTGAGCTTAATGACGGAATCGAAAACATATGGAGTACACTGCCCTGCAGATTTGTGGCTCAACATATCCATGCATTGTACGTGGAGCTTCTTTTCCGTTCACTGTAACACTGTACACTGCACTTATATTGAGAAGTACAGGGTGTCGGGTGTAGGCTTTGCAGGGGAACAAGTAGTCAGAACAGATGCAGCTGTTTCCCATACACGGTGTAAGAAGGCAAACGGAATCGAAACTCGGGGAGAGCATGATCGCTGGCATATTGCCACACATTCTTCTTTGGGGGGTAAGCTCTCTCGTGCACTCCACTGCTTCAAGAGAGCGGTCTTAGGCTTTCGCAGAGACCTGGGTCTTGAAGTTGTCGGCGATGACCCGGAAGACGAGAGCCACGTCCGCTGTGGAAGGCCTCCAGTGGCGAGCTCACGAGGATCGGCTCTGCAGCAGGTTCGCAAACCGGTGGATTGAAGCGCACGCGTCCCTTCCGCATGAGCTCCGCTCTGCTCCAAGGAGGGCTACTGCTAGGCGCCCGGGCACGTAGTTGAAGGTCTGCAGCGCGGAAGTGGTCGAACCTACCTGCAGCACCGGACGGAGCTTCGCTCGGAGCTACGGAGATGTCGGAGCTGGCACCGGTGAAGGAAGCCTCAGAAGCTTCGCGAAGTCCGTCCCGGAGTGGCCGAAAGTCCGTGCATAGAGGGTTTAGCGCTTCTGGCGATACATGTACGAATACTGAACGAGACATAGATGTCCCGTACACGACATAAGAAAAATTATATCGGTGAGTGAGATTAATGACGGAATCGAAAACATATGGAGTACACTGCCCTGCAGATTTGTGGCTCAACATATCCATGCATTGTACGTGGAGCTTCTTTTCCGTTCACTGTAACACTGTACACTGCACTTATATTGAGAAGTACAGGGTGTCGGGTGTAGGCTTTGCAGGGGAACAAGTAGTCAGAACAGAGGTAGCTGTTTCCCATACACGGTGTAAGAAGGCAAACGGAATCGAAACTCGGGGAGAGCATGATCGCTGGCATATTGCCACACATTCTTCTTTGGGGGGTAAGCTCTCTCGTGCACTCCACTGCCAAGAGAGCGGGTCATAGGCTTCGCAGGAGGACCTGGGTCTGAAGTTGTCGGGCGATGAACCGGAAGACGCGCGCCACAAGCACACGCACTGCGGCCGGCCGCCAGTGGCGGAGCTCACGAGGATCGGCTCTGCAGCAGGTTCGCAAACCGGTGGATTGAAGCGCACGCGTCCCTTCCGCATGAGCTCCGCTCTGCTCCAAGGAGGGCTACTGCTAGGCGCCCGGGCACGTAGTTGAAGGTCTGCAGCGCGGAAGTGGTCGAACCTACCGGCAGCACCGGACGGAGCTTCGCTCTGAGCTACGGAGATGTCGGAGCTGGCACCGGTGAAGGAAGCCTCAGAAGCTTCGCGAAGTCCGTCCCGGAGTGGCCGAAAGTCCGTGCTTAGAGGGTTTAGCGCTTCTGGCGATACATGTACGAATACTGAACGAGACATAGATGTCCCGTACACGACATAAGAAAAATT